AAGCTTGTTCTAAGTAGGTGCCTTAGACCACTGAGCCATCTCTCCAGCCCCTGTATTTGGTTTTTAGAGGGTCTCACTACACACCTTGGACTCATAGTGATCCCCTGTTTTCTGCCTCCCTAGCTCTGGGATAACAGGTGTGCACCACTGCATGGCATGTGGTACCGGAGATTGAACTGTGGTCCCTGTGCTTGCTTAAGCAGGTGCTTTAGTCCGCTGAGCTATCTCGCCGGCCCTCAGTCATGTTCTTCTAATGCTTCTCCTCTGAAAACCACTGGGATGCATAACCTGGAGTTTGAAACTCTCTCTTTCTCTCTTTTTTTTTCTTTTCTTTCTTTCTTTTTTTTTTTTTTTGCCGAACAGGGGATTGAACTCAGGCCCTTGTGCTTGCCAGGCAAGCACTTATTCCACTGAGCTATCTCCCCAGCCCCTTGAAACTCTCTTTTAATTCCTAGTACCATACATATTGAGGATTTATGAATACACCATGAACTATTTAAGGTGTTCAAAAATTGTGCTTCTTTAGAGACAGGGTCTTGTTATATAGTCCAGGCTGGCCTCAGACTCTTAGCAGTACTCCTGCCTCAGCCTCCTGATTACATGCCTGTTGGAGAGTCTTCCAGGACCTTGTCTCGGTCCAAGAAGCCAATACTTATAATCCCAAAGTTATGTTATTGGAATCCCATCAAGTTGATTCCAATCCACCACTTACAATGCAACCCACGGTGAAAATAAAGACACTAAATTATATTTTCAATCATCAGGGAGTCAAGGGGCTCTAAGTCCAGCCATGAAGATGGCTTTCCAGAACTGAGAGTGACCCAGGGCCTCACCCAGTTTTTATTCAGTGGGGGAGTGGCTTGAGGAGGACTGATTGAGAATTATGGGAAGTAGGTGATCATTGTGAGCTGAGCTAGGTGGGTGGTCTACATTTACCTAAGGCCAATTGATAAACAGAAGTCCTAGTCAGCTCTATACATAGGAAATAGGGTCAGGCTCAGTCCAGATGGAGACAGTCGCTCTTCTTTCAAGGAGAGCTGCTCAGGTGGTCCTCCATACATGCCTGGCTCAAAAAAAAACCCCTAAGAGTACATAGAGTCTGTGAGACCAGAATGCTCGTGCATTGCCTGGGTCAGGCAATGGGAACCCACCCTTGGGGTACTTTAGGACTCTGTGCAGCTGACCAGTCCCCAGCAGCTGGATGCTTGTTGGTGCCTCCAGTGACACCGATGTCTGCACTCAGTTCAGGGGCTTATTTCCATATTATTAATTGTTGGGTACCCTCAAGTGGGATTTTGGATTAAAGTGCATAACAACTTATAAGCTTTCCCCATGCCTCATCCATTCATTCTCATTCATTCTCTCTCTCTCTCTCTCTCTCTCTCTCTCTCTCTCTCTCTCTCTCTCATCTTGAGTTTTGGTAAAATATCTGTAATGAAAATGTATCACTTTAGTTGTTAGCGCACCGCACCATCCATTGTATTAAGCACATTCACATGGTCACACAGCTGTGCCCACCATCTGTGTCCAACAGTTTCTCATCTTTCCAAAATGCATCTCTTGGGCAGGGGAGATAGCTCAGGAGCACAGTGCCTGCCTGGCAAGCGCAAGGTCATGAGTTTGATTCCCAGTGCAAAAAACAAAACAAAATAGGGCCAGCAAGATAGCTTAGCAGGGGGGCAGGGAGATGGCTCAGTAGAATGAGCGCTTGCCTGGCAAGCTCAAGGGCCTGAGTTCAATCCCTGGTACCGCAAAAAAAAAAAAAAAAAAAGATAGCTTAGCAGACTAAGCGCCTGCTTAGGCAAGGGCAGGGACTAGGGTTCGATCCTGGCACCACATGTTGTGCTGGCCCCAACCCCAGAGGCATGACAAGCAGAGCTAGCCATGGAGACTGGGTGTGGTGGCGCACATCTGTAATCTCAGCGTTGGGGAGGCTGAAAACAGGAGGAGCACTAGGAATCTGAGCTGCATAGTGAGACCCTGTGCCAAATATGTAAAAAACAAACCAAATCAAAACTGTACCTCTGTCCCATGAGATACTGACTCCCACCCTGCCCCAGCCCCAGAACCCACGAATCCACTTCATGTCTCTGGTTTTCCCTTTTCTGAATGTTTCCTGTTCATAGAGCCCACACTGTGAGTCCTCTGTGGCTGGAGTCTCTCAGTGGGCACAGCATCCTCAAGGTCTGTCTACACTGTGGCGAATGAGTAATACAGCTTCACTCTCCCTTTCAGCCAAATAACGTCCTGGCGTGGGGTGGGCCTTGCTGTGTCCAACCTTCCACGTAACTGTGGGAACCTGGCTGCAAAATACATGGGTGGACACATCTCATTGTAGGACTTTTTTTTTCTTTTATCATTTTAGTTCTTTGGGTGAAAGCCAGGGCTTTGGTACCAAGCTACCTGCCCAGTCCTTATTTTTATCTTTTGAGACAGGCTCTTGATAGATTGCCAAATTGCCTACACTGAACTCAAACTTCTGATCCTCTTGCCTCAGACTCCCAGGTGTATGCCACTGTGCCTGGCTCATTTGGGGATTTTTTTGTTTTGTTCTTTGAGAGAGGGTCGCTATTATGTAGTTCAGGCTGGTCTTGAATCACTATGTAATGGAGGCTGGCCTTGAACTCATGGGGAATTCTCCCGCCTCAGCTTTTGGAGTCCTGGGATTACAGGTGTGGGCCACACCTGGCCTGGCTCTATCATTCTGAAACTTTCTTTGGGTTTTTTTTTTTTTTTTTTTTGGCAAACTGGAGATTGAACGCAGGCCCTTGCACTTGCCAGGCAAGCACTTATTCTACTGAGCTATCTCCCCGGCCCTTGGAACTTTCTGATATATGTTGCTAATGTACTTCCCCAGACAGTGACTGTTCATTCTCCCCCAAGGATGGTCAGTTCTGACCCTGCTCAGCAGAGAAAGGGCTCTGGGTTTTGGTGAGAGTTTTTTCTTCCACCTCCCTTCCAGGTCTTATTTACTCTTTTGTAAAGTGAGAAATTGCTCTCCCTGGTGAGTGGAGACAAATGGATGTGACAGCCACCTCCTTGATGCTCCTGTCCCCTGCAGACCCAGTTCTGCAGATTAGTTCAGTGTCTGATGGTCTAGAGGCAGGAGCTCCCAAGGAAGTAGATCAGGAGTGGAGGGAATGATGTTCCCAGGCAGGACAGGGATGAGTGTTCAGGTGCAGAGGATGGCATGGGCAAAGACCTGGCAGCAGGAGCAAGTGAGCATCTTGGCTGGGGATGGGGTAGGGAGGCAGGTGTGGAGGTGGCAGTGAGTGGGGCACCGAGGAGGGGGCTGCAGGGCAGGGAGCGGGGCTGCCCGTCAGCTTCAGTCTCCTTGTCCCCACAGGTGGTCTGCAAGCCGTGGCAGAACTGCTGCAGGTGGACTATGAGATGCACAAGATGACCCGGGACCCCCTGAACCTTGCCTTGCGCCGCTACGCAGGCATGACCCTTACTAACCTTACCTTTGGAGATGTGGCCAACAAGGTACCCAGGGCTAGTGGGAATGGGGGTCTGGGCTGCCCCCACTGGGGGCTCCAGGGCCAGCTCAAGCTAGCCTCCTTGTACATCATCCTAACCTCAGAATGGCCCTGAGAAGTGGGGAGTTATTCCCGATTTACAGGTGGGTAGAAGGGAGGGTTGTGCTGCTGGGTTTGCCTGGCCAGGCCAACTTTCCCCGGGTTATTGCAGTGCTGCCTGAGGACAGCTTTTGTGGCACAGAAGGGGCCTCTGGTGTGTGTGTGTGTGTGTGTGTGTGTGTGTGTGTGTGTGTGTATGCGTTCACATGTCCATGCCTCAGTTTTCTCCCCTGACTTTTGGGGTGCCCCAGATGGCAGCAAGGGGCAGGACTGGGATACCAGCATGTGGATCTGGGAAGAGGAAGGGTTGTCTGCCTTATGTACTAGCTGCACATGCCGTGAGCATGACTGTCCTGTGGCACTCCCTGCAGGCCACCCTCTGTGCCCGCCGGGGCTGCATGGAGGCCATCGTGGCCCAGCTCGCATCTGAGAGTGAGGAGCTCCACCAGGTACCTGGGGCAGGGTGCAAACAGCCTTCCCTCTCCCAAGGTTCAGAGGCTACCGTAGGACTGTGCCCAGCTGCCCAGGTCCCTTCAGTCCTTGGGCTAGATGGGGTGTATGAGTGCCACCTTGGGGCTGGGCGCCATCTTGGGTTCCACCATGTTGGCAGACAGCTCCACACACCACGCCCACCTCACCAGCCACGCCCACTCAACACAGCCACGCCCACAAATCTAATCCCCGGCCACGCAGCCCTAGCTGCACCCTTCCTTCCCATATTGGCTCATCCCTGCCCCATTCTCCACGGGCCCATCTCCCTTGCTCCATCCCTCCCAGTGCCCAACTCTGCCCCACCTAACCACATCATTGCCCCACTCCCCCAACACATCACGCCCCCATATCCCTTCCTTCCCTTGTCCCTCAGGTGGTATCCAGCATCCTACGCAACCTGTCCTGGAGGGCAGACATCAACAGCAAGAAGGTGCTGAGGGAGGTCGGCAGTATGACGGCCCTGATGCAGTGTGTCCTGCGGGCTACCAAGGTGGGCACTGGGGAAGGCTGGGGATTGGGGGGATTCCAGCCCGCCCAGCACTGAGCCCTGCCTCCCTGTGCCCAGGAGTCCACCCTGAAGAGCGTGCTCAGCGCCCTGTGGAACCTGTCGGCGCACAGCACAGAGAACAAAGCAGCCATCTGCCAGGTGGACGGTGCACTCGGCTTCCTGGTGAGCACCCTGACCTACCGCTGCCAGGGCAACTCCTTGGCTGTCATCGAGAGTGGCGGCGGCATCCTGCGCAATGTGTCCAGCCTCATTGCCACGCGCGAGGACTACAGGTCAGCCCTGGGCCCGGGAGGGTGGGCTGCGGAGAGCGTATCCACACTGCAGATTGTCTTCTAGGGAATGGGTGTCCTGACTGTCCCCAGGAACTCATTTTCCAGTTTGCGTATATCTCACCTACTCGCAGGGCTATAACTATACTAAAATGCTCACTTATTAAATGAAAAAGTGCTACATGAAGCCAGGCATGGTTCAACTCAGCACTCTGGGAGGCTAGGGCAGGAGGCCTGAAAGTTCCTGCCCAAGGTGGGCATAAGGGTACATGCCTGTTGGAGGATCATTTTAAGTTTGAGGTCACCCTCGACTGAAGACCAGCCCGAACTACAAAGAACCTGTCTAAAAAAAAAAAAAAAAAAATTACTACCTAAAGGAGGCATGGCAGTGCATTGCATGCCTGTAATCCCAATGCTGGAAAGGCTGAGGAAGGAGAACTGCCATAAGTACAAGGCCAGCCTGGGCTCTGTAGTAAAACCCTGTCTCAAAAAATCAAACTGAACTGAACCAAACCAAACCAACCAACCAACAAACAAAAAACCTACTTAAATAATGTTAACAATAAAACATACCTTGTTAAAATATTTAATAAGTGTTAGTAAGTCAGAGTGGTGTCACACACTTGCAATTTCAGCACTTAGGAAGCTGAGGCAGGAGGATCACTGTGATCTTGAGTCCAGCCAGGGCTACATAGATTTCAAGGCCAGCTTGAACTTCACAGCTAGATCCTGTCTCAAAAAGAGGTTAATAAATACCACCTAGGATTTATGAAAATAAAAATGTTATTTTTAGTTACATTAGTATATTACAAATACTGTGTAGGATATATTTACACTAAACTTAACCTGGTGTACCTGTGACCCTCATTAGGAGGCTGAGGCAGGAGGATTGCAAATTCCAGCACAGGCTAAGCTACTTAGGTAATTTCAGGACAGCCTGGACTACATGGTGAGACCATATCTCAAAAGGGAAAAGGTTTATTAAAATTATACAAAATTTATAATTAAATAATATTTATTTAAATAATAAAGTACTGGGGGCCGGGGAGATAGCTCAGTAGAATAAGCGCTTGCCTGGCAAGCGAAAGGGCCTGAGTTCAATTCCCGGTTCTGCAAAAATAAATAAATAAATAAATGAATAATAAAGTACTTTTTTTTTTTTTTTTTTTCCCCAGAACTGGGGATTGAACTGAGACCCTTGTGCTTGCCAGGGAAGTGCTTATCCTACTGAGCCATCTCCCCGGCCCCAGTACTTGTTAAATATTAATGTTTATGAAAATTTATTTTAGTGTAGGGTTTCTCAAATATCTCATCAGATGTATTTGTACTGAAATTATTTAAGGGGCTGCGGAGATAGCTAAGCAGAATAAGTGCTTCCCTGGCAAGCACAAGGGTTTGAGTTCAATCCCTAGTTTTGAAAAAAAAAAAAAAGAAAGAAAGAAATTATTTAGGAAAAACATTTTTTTAGGGCTGGGGAGATAGCTCAGTAGAATAAGTGCTTGCCGGGCAAGTGCAGGGTCCTGAATTCAATCCTCAGTACCACAAAAAAAAAAAAAAAGAAAGAAAGAAAAATATTTCTTTATCTATTTGGCACAGGGTCTCACTATGCAGCTTGAATTCATAATGATCCTCCTGTTTTCAACCTCCCCAGTTCTGGGATTACAGGCATGCACCACCATGCCAAATCTAGTAGCCAGCTCAGCATGGGGGGGGGGTGGAGATGGCACACCAGGGCGGCATGTGGTGCCGGGGATGGAACCCCAGTCCCTGTGCTTGCCTAAGCATGTGCTTAGTCCACTGAGCTATCTTGCTGGCCCAAGAAAAATATTAAATACTGATATATAGTACTTACAGTAAAAAGTACATGTTCATGTGTATGTGTATGTATATGTATATGTGCTGGTACAGGGGATTAAACTGTACACCACGAAGCCTGGCAAAAAGGCTTTATTTTAGCATAACTCATGAGATGCATGGTACAAATGTACTAAAAATAATTCCATTTTCTTTTTTACTTATTTATTTTTTAATACCATTTTCTAAAATTCATACTTAGAATTTAAAAAAATTCAGACTTGGGCTGGGGATATAGCTTAGTCCTGAGTTTGATTCCCAGTTCCAAAAAAATAAATAAATAAAATAAAATTCAAGCTTCACTGAGGGCTGGAGATATAGCTCAGTGATAGAGTGTTTGCCTAGCATGCACAAGGCCTTGAGTTCAATCCCTACAAAACACACACACACACACACACACACACACACACACACTTCACTGGAGACTATGTATTTGCTCTGAACCACCCTAATCTGTCAGGAAGGTCCGGGAACAGCTGGAAGGGGTGTGGCCAGAGGGAAAGTGTAGTCAGGGTGGGGTGTGGCCAGTTAGGCAGGAGGTGGTTGGTGCATTGGGTATGTGGCCAGGCCTGACTGCTCCTGCCCTGCAGGCAGGTGCTGCGAGACCACAACTGCCTGCAGACCCTGTTGCAGCACTTGACCTCGCACAGCCTGACCATCGTGAGCAACGCCTGTGGCACGCTCTGGAACCTGTCTGCGCGCAGCCCTCGCGACCAGGAGCTGCTATGGGACTTGGGGGCTGTGGGCATGCTGCGCAACCTGGTGCACTCCAAGCACAAGATGATCGCCATGGGCAGTGCAGCTGCCTTGCGCAACCTACTAGCCCATCGGCCCGCCAAGTACCAGGCAGCAGCCACAGCCATCTCTCCAGGCACCTGTGTGCCCAGCCTGTACGTGCGGAAGCAGCGAGCGCTGGAGGCAGAGCTGGACACCCGGCACCTGGCACAGGCACTGGGCCACCTGGAGAAGCAGGGCCTGCCTCAGGCTGAGGCTGAGGCCACCTCCAAGAAAGCATTGCCTCCCCTGCGGCACCTGGATGGACTGGCCCAGGACTACGCCTCTGACTCGGGCTGCTTTGATGATGATGATGCACCACCCCTGGCTGCAGCTGCCACCACTGCAGAGCCCGCCAGCCCCGCAGTGATGTCCTTGTTCCTGGGCAGCCCCTTCCTGCAGGGCCAGGCACTGGCCCGCACCCCGCCTGCCCGCCACAGTGTTCCAGAGGCTGAGAAGGAGTCCGGGGGAGATGCTGCCGTGGCGGCCAAAGCCAAAGCGAAGCTGGCACTGGCAGTTGCTCGTATTGACCGGCTGGTGGAGGACATCTCTGCTCTGCACACCTCATCTGACGACAGCTTCAGCCTCAGTTCTGGGGACCCTGGGCAGGAAGCACCCAGGGAGGGCCGTGCTCAGTCCTGTTCACCATGCCGGGGCTCTGAGGGTGCCCGGAGGGAGGGTGGTAGCCGGGCCCATCCGCTGCTGCGTCTCAAAGCGGCTCATGCCAGTCTCTCCAATGACAGTCTCAACAGTGGGAGCACTAGCGATGGCTACTGCCCACGGGAGCACATGCAGCCCTGCCCACTGGCTGTGCTGGCTGAGCACCGTGAGGACCCATTGCGTGGGCAGGTGCGGCCCAGCCAGCTGGACCTTGACCTGCACAGTGGCCAGGCTGAGCCACCTGCACGCGACACTGCAGCTTCTGCTGATGCAGGGGTGCGCACCATCAAGCTGTCGCCCACCTACCAGCACGTGCCATTGTTAGAAGGTGGGGTGGGGGTAGGGGCGCGGCCCCTCACTGGGCCTGGGGCCCGGAAGCAGGTGTGGATGCCAGCAGACAACCTCAGCAAGGTACCTGAGAAGCTGGCAAGTGGCAGTCCATTGCCTGCGGTCAGCAAGGTGTTGCAAAAGCTGGCAGTGCAGGATGGGCCTCTGTCTCTCTCTCGCTGCAGCTCTCTGTCCTCACTGTCCTCCACTGGCCAACCTGGCCCCAGCGAAGGTGGTAACCTGGATGATAGCGACTCTTCCCTGGAGGGACTGGAGGAGGCCTGCCCTGGGGAGGCAGAGTTGGATGGGGGTTGGCGAGGTTCTGGGTCTACCTCACTGCCAGTAGCCATCCCTGCCCCCCGCCGGGGCCATGGGCGGGGTTTGGGGGTAGAGGATGCCACACCATCCAGCTCTTCAGAGAACTGTGTGCAGGAGACACCACTGGTTCTGAGTCGCTGCAGTTCAGTGAGCTCACTGGGCAGCTTTGAGAGCCCATCAATTGCCAGCTCCATCCCTAGTGACCCATGCAGTGGGCTGGGCAGTGGCACTGTCAGCCCCAGTGAGCTGCCAGACAGCCCTGGGCAGACTATGCCACCCAGCCGCAGCAAGACACCACCAGCGCCACAGGGCCAGCCAGAGACCAGCCAGTTCAGCCTACAGTGGGAGAGCTATGTCAAGCGCTTCCTGGACATCGCGGACTGCCGTGAGCGCTGCCAGCCACCATCCGAGCTAGATGCGGGCAGTGTGCGCTTCACTGTAGAGAAACCAGATGAGAACTTCTCCTGTGCCTCTAGTCTCAGTGCTCTGGCTCTGCATGAGCTGTATGTGCAGCAGGATGTAGAACTTCGGCTGCGGCCACCTGCTTGTGTGGAGCGTGAGGGAGGTGGAGGTGGAGGTGGAGGACATCGCAGGAGGGACGAGGCTGGTGGCCGCCTGGAAGGATCCACACCATCAGGTTCTCGCAACCGCTCCACTGGTGATCAGGAACTGGAGCTGCTACGTGAGTGTCTGGGGGCCGCTGTGCCAGCCAGACTCCGCAAAGTGGCCTCAGCCCTGGTGTCAGGGCGCCGTGCCCTGCCGGTACCAGTCTACATGCTGGTGCCTGCCCCGGCCCGGGACGATGACTCTGGCACCGACTCCGCCGAGGGCACACCTGTCAATTTTTCGAGCGCCGCCTCACTCAGCGATGAGACGCTGCAGGGACTCCCCAGAGACCAGCCCCACTCACTGGCTGACAGGCTGAAGCCAATGGGACGTGCAGCTCCGTCAAGACAGGCTTCCGGGCACAGGTCGAAGGCAGGGGGCGCTAGCAAGAGCATTGAACAGACCCAGGGAGCCGGCAGGAGCAGGGCAGGACTAGAATTGCCCCTTGGCCGGCCTCCAAGTGCACGCTCTGACAGGGAAGGCTCTCGTCCAAGTCGCTCCCGTGAGGACGGGGGTCTGCAATCTCTTTGCCTCACCACACCCACTGAAGAGGCTGTGTATTGCTTCTATGATTCCGAGGAGGAGCCACCAGCTACCACAGCACCACCTCTGCGGCGGGCATCCGCAATTCCTCGGGCTCAGAAGCGGGAAAGACCCATAGGCCGGAAGGAGACCCACGCCCCATCCAAAGCTGTGCCACCTGTCCGGGCCCAGCCCAGGCTGATCGCTGATGAGACTCCGCCCTGCTATTCTCTGAGCTCCTCAGCCAGCTCCCTCAGTGAGCCTGAGCCCTCTGAGCGGCCAACTGCCCATCCTCGAGGCCGTGAGCCAGTGACCATCAAGGCTTCAGGTCCTGGCAGTGGCCGGGAAAGCTCTCCAAGCCCACGCACCGAGGAAGAGCTGTTGCGGCGGTGCATTGGTTCAGCCATGCCCAGGCGCCGGCCTCAGGCCTTGGGCTCAAAGCGACGCAAGCCCAGAGCTGCCCGGCCAGACCCACGGCCAGTGGAGGAGCCCCAGAAGTGTGCTGAGCATGTGGTAGGCTCTGACCCGGCCTCTGATCTGGACAGTGTAGAGTGGCAGGCCATCCAGGAAGGTGCTAACTGCATTGTCACTTGGCTGCACCAAGCAGCGGCTGCAGCCACCCTGGAGGCCTCATCGGAGTCTGACTCCCTCCTGTCCTTGGTGTCTGGGCTGTCCATAGGTTCTACAATGCAGTCATCCAAACACAGGAAGGGGCGACAGCCCGAGGCAGGGGCCGAGGCAGGAAGTGCTCCCCGGTTAGAGAAACGGGGTGCAGCCCCAGCCAAGAGTGCTGGGAGCCCCCGCTCACCTGGAGGCCCAGAGAAACCTCGGGGCACGCAGAAAACTGCATCCGGGGAGCCGGCTGTGCTCCGGGGACGCACAGTGATTTATGTGCCCAATCCTGCTCCGCGAACCCAGCCCAAAGGCACTCCGGGTCCCCGTGCCACACCGAAGAAAATGGGGGCTGCAGGACTTCCACAGCCAGAAGCCCCAGCCAAAACTCCCAGCCCTGGGCAGCAGAGGTCGCGCAGTTTGCACAGGCCGGGCAAGATCTCGGAGCTGGCAGCGCTGAACCACCCCCCGAGGAGCGCCACACCTCCAGCTCGCCTAGCCAAGACCCCGTCCTCGAGCTCCTCCCAGACCTCCCCTGCCTCCCAGCCCCTGCCCAGGAAGTCTCCTCTGGCCACCCCGGCTGCAGGACCCCTCCCTGGCCCTGGAAACTCCCCGGTGCCCAAGACGCCAGCTCGGGCCCTTCTGGCCAAGCAGCACAAGACGCAGAAGTCGCCAGTGCGCATCCCATTCATGCAGAGACCTGCCAGGCGAGGGCCGCCGCCGTTGGCCAGGGGAGCCCCAGAATCGGTCCCGAGGGGCCGGACGGGGCCCGAAGGGGGCCCCGGGGCGCGAGGGAGTCGCTTAGGCCTGGTGCGCGTGGCCTCTGCGCGCTCCAGCGGCAGCGAGTCCTCCGAACGCTCAGGTTTCCGGCGACAATTGACTTTTATCAAAGAGTCCCCGGGCTTGTTGCGTCGCCGGCGCTCCGAGCTGTCTTCTACTGAGTCCGCAGTCCCCGCCCCCCAGGGTGCCTCCCCGCGCCGCGGCCGGCCAGCCCTTCCCGCGGTCTTTCTCTGCTCCTCGCGCTGCGACGAGCTGCGGGCGCCCCCGCGGCAATCTCCAGGCCTCCAGCGGACTCCGACAACGTCGCGCCCCGGGCCTGGCCTCCGCGCGCCTCGGCGCACCAGCTCCGAGAGTCCCTCGCGCTTGCCCGTGCGCGCGCCCGCGCCACGGCCCGAGGCGGTCAAGCGCTACGCATCGCTGCCGCACATCAGTGTGGCGCGCAGGCCGGAGGGGGCCGTCTCCGCCCCCGCTGACGCCAACCGCCGCAGCAGCGATGGAGAGGCCAGGCAGCTACCCAGGGTGGCGGCCCCGGGCACTACATGGCGGCGCATCCGCGACGAGGATGTCCCGCACATTCTCCGCAGCACGCTGCCAGCTACCGCCCTGCCGCTCCAGGGCGCCTCACCAGACGAAAGCCTGGCCGGGGCTCCGCAGCGCAAGACCAGTGACGCCGTGGTGCAGACAGAGGAGGTGGCCGCGCCCAAGACCAACTCCAGCACCTCCCCGAGCCTGGAAACACGGGAGCTACCCCAGGCCCCGGTCGGAGGCTCTGTCCCTCTTCTGGGCAGTGATGTCGACGGGCCTGGCCCCACCAAGGTCCCTGCCGCTGTCCCCTTCGTCCACGAGGGCCTGAGCGTTGCAGTGGGAGGCTTTCCTGCCAGCCGGCATGGGTCCCCCAGCCGCGCTGCACGGGTCCCGCCCTTCAACTACGTGCCCAGCCCGATGGCCGCGGCGGTAGCGACCAGCGACTCTACGGCGGCAGAGAAGGCCCCCGCCCGCCTCTTGGAGTAAAGGGTTAGGTCGGCCGTCCCGGTTGCCCCTCTTCAGGCCCAGTCCGGCTTCCCGGCGGGCCCTTTCCATAGAGGCTGCAGCAGGCCCGGCCCTTGGGCGCTTGCTCTTGGATTCTATCAACCCGCCCCAGGGAGGCCAAGACCTTGCTTCTCCCCAAGGGGCTCGGGAAACAAGGGCCACCGTGCACCCAAGCACCCAGTGGTGTCTCGGCTCAGCCTCCTCTCCACGTAGAGACCCTCCTTCCCCGGCTCGGGCAGCTGACCTGCGCATCCAGGAGGGTAGGGACACTGCCGGGTCGGCTGGGCAGCCCGCATGGGAAGTAATAACACCCATGTGAGGTGAGGCCACCTGGGGAGTGTGGTGTGTGCGCATGTGCGCCAGCTGGGCCTGCCCGTGTAGCACCCACTGCGCAGGAGGAAGCCTCTAATTATGGCTCCGTTAATTCGTTAATGACCACCTTGCCCGCTTTGTTTCTCTTCTCAACTTCAGCTGGAGAAGTGTGGGATGAGAGGTGGGGCTGAGCCCAGTTGAAAGCCAAGCTCTTCAGAGAGCCCCCGCCAGTGTTGCTCTCTCCAGGAAGGTGGTGGCCCCCCAGATTACTTGGCCCTCTGTACCCCATAGGTAAAGACTGGGAACAGGCAGAGATAGGGGATACGCGTGCTGGAGGCTAACACTGTGTTCCTGCTGATGACCAGTGTCAGGGACCTTTTCCATCTCAGAAGAGGAGCCCAGACACACCTAAGTAGGTCTAGGGAGGGAGGTGGGGGCTGAGGGCCAGGTGGTGTGTCCCAACCCACTGTTGTGGGTGAAGCAGTGGGGGAGAGGAAGCCAGGGGTGGCAGCGTACACTTCTGTAATCCTAACACTTGGAAAGCTGAGGCAGGATCGCCTGGAGTCTAAGGCAATCTGGGGTATATAGTGAGTTCAAGACTAGTCAGAGCTACATAGTGAGAGCCTGACTAAAAATAAATAAAAATAAAAGGGGGTAGAAACCTCTTGCAGGAAGTCTCAGGGGGGCTGGAAGGCCAGGACCTGTTATAGGGAGGTGACTGGTTTGTGGGAGATCAACTACCCACGGCTGCTGCAACTGCTAGATACATTCCTTCCAGTTACCTGAACTATAATCCTAGGCAAGCCTGAAGTCAAGGGAGGACTTGGGGTGTGAACCCTGGCCGGCCAGAAACCCGGGATGGAGGTGGAGTGTTGTCAGGTGAGATGGCAGGGCACAGAAAGGGCACCTGAGTGGTCTGAGGAGCCTGGAGGCTGGAGCTGGGCCTCAGGGGCCCTGGGCCTGAAGCCTCTCCTCATGGAGCTTCTGCACGGAGACAGGGCTGTGTGTCCTGCATCTGAGGACCTTCCTGCAGAGAGAGCCAGCAACCTCTCCCCTGTGGGATCTGCTCTGGCAGAGGATCTGCTGCCACAGAAACCCAGTTCCTCCTTGGAACTTCAGCTCTGTCAAGGCCCCAGCAGGCTGAGGTCAAAGGGCCCAGGAGCCACAGTGATGGGAGACCCCAGCCCAGAGTCAGGTGCTGCTTCACCCTACAAATGCCACTCTTGCTCTTCTGCAACACACATCCTGCAGGATGACCACATTCCCAAGCGACAGTGCTCAGGGCCCCCAACCAGTCACTCCCAGGCCTGTCTCACTTCCCAGCACAGGGCTGCTGGGAAGCTCTGGGGGCAGAGCTGGCCAGGACAACAGGCAGGGAGAGAAGGAAGACCTGGCTCTACAGAGGTGACTTCTTTGGGACACAAGAGCCGTATCAGTAGCCCACGTCCGACTGTGGCCTGAAGGCTAAGCAGCCAGATGCTCGCTTGTTCACACCATGGGTCAGCTGCACCCCATAAAGGCCAGTTGCTGGGCAAGGACCACCAGTTTGCCAGTGCAGGGCCCGGGCCAATGTGGGCCTCCCTACCATGCACTGTGAGACCCTGGGCAGTACTCTTGCCCTGTGCCTCAGCTTCCCCATGTGGGCCGTGGGGAAGACTCCCAGAGCTACCTCTTGGGTGAGTGGAGCAATTGTCATGATAGGGGTGTACCTGGCGCTGCTCACAGACCCAACTGGGGTGACACCTCAGCCGTGATGTAAGGGGCTGCCACTCTACTGGCCACCTCCAGCAGCTACTTCTGCCTTTGTACCCTTTGTGGCAGGGGGACAGCCACATATGCCATCTGGCTCAGGCGGGACTAAGGGCTGGAGCCAGCTTGGGCTGGCTGTGAACAGAAGTGACCCTACCTCTGCAAACCTCGAGTCAGCCCAGGGGCTCAAGGACCTGAGGCCCTGGGCCAGGAGCGACAGTGGGGGTCACCCTAAGATGGACACCTGAGCCTCAGGCTGATGGGTGTGACCACTGCCCACACCCAACGCTACCCCCGCCCGGGTGCTGACTCAGGGCAAAGCGCCCACCCATTACCTCATCTCCTACCTGGCTGTCACCCTGGCTTCGGCCCCCACGCCCGCCTCTTGCTTGGTCTGTCAGCTCTTACGGCCACCGACTTCTCGTCTGTGTTCAGGTCTTCTCGCAGTGTTAACTGAATGTGTAAATAGTTACGGCCCCGCACACCAACCCCACTCATGTAAATCGCCTGTGTAGCTGAAGGACGGGGCCCGGCAGGCATCTGGCTTCTTGTGCACCTTTAATAAAATGAGCTGTTGAATCACCTCCTGCTCCTGATTTCAAGATAGGATGAAGAGAGAAGCCAAGGTACCCGAGATGGCCTGTGGCTCATGTGGGACAGGAGGAGGGCTTGCCAGCCACCAGGAAGAGGGTGCCAAGGGCCATCAGGTTCCACACAAGCCCACCATTTACTGGTGCTGAGGTGGCCAAGTGTCAAGGTCACTTCCAGGGAACACAGCCTGACCCAGGGGACATAGGCAGGGTGAGGTGGTATAGGGTTAGCAGGGGTTGGCTGCCCAGATGCCCACAACTACCTGGCCTGGCAGGAAAGCTCTGGGGTAGGTAACCATGGCAAGCCCTACCAGGCTTAGGCAGGGTCCCCCAAGATACAGCTTCTAGTTTAAGAGGGTTCTTGCAGGCTTACACAGTACGTCTATTTCAGAGAAAGAGAAACATCCATTTTTAAAATTTATTTTGAGACAGCGTCTTGAGATCCTACTGCCTCAGCCTCCTGAGTGCTGGGATGACAGGCATATGCTGTTATAACTGGCTGAAAAACATCACTGATGCTCCAGAAACAAAGTCCTGTCTCCTAGATGCCAAGTCTGGACAGGAACAGACAGCAGGCCTTGGGCTTGGGGCTCTAGATGAGGTGGATGTCCCTGTCCCTGCTCACAGCAGAATAAGGCTAAGTTTGCACTTAGCCCCATGGGCCTGGCACTTGCTCTCCTGATGGCCAGGGCCTGGATCTGACTGGCTTAGGCAAAAAGCCCTTTTGCAAAACCTCCAGCCAGCCCGCAGCAAAAGCGGGGCCAGAGCCATGAGGAGGTAGCATGGCCCGAGGGACCCAGCTCATGCCTTCACTGAGGTGATAGTGAGCGATGAGGAGTTGGCAGGGCCGCGCGACGTCTCCACTGGGGCCAGTGGGGTGGTGACGGTGGCAGCCCAGGGCTGTCATAATGACCAGGCTGGTGCATAAAAGGACTAGAGCCTCAGGTCCTCTTGAGTCACACAGGCAGTGGGCCACTACACCTCATCCAGCCAGGCCTGCAGCTCAGGTGGACAGAGGGCTGTGCACACCTTAGGTGGCCCTTGACCTGAGCGGCAGAAGGAGGCAGTGCCAGAGCAAAGCTGTCATGGGGAGGGGACAGAACTGCTTGGAGCCAGCTGTGCCCACCCCCTACTTCCTGGGCCTGTGCTGGGCCCTGCTGGGTGGGTCTTGCTGCACAGTGTCACAGAAGGGTGTGACAAGGGAGCGCCATAGTGGGTTCATGGCTCCCACAACCACAGTCCCAGTCAGCCGGAGGTGGCTGAGGTCACTGGCAGTGCAGCCTGGGTCACCTGGCCAACATCCTGCTCCAGCTCTTCACCAGCGTGACTCAGGTCCTCACACTTGTGCCTCAGGAGGGCTCCAGCCTGCCGCAGCTGCTCGTTGGTGGCCACATAGGCCTGGCCCTGCTGGTAGATCTGCTCCCACTGGGCCTCGGGGGGGTCCTCAGTGTTCCTGGCGGTGGCTGGGGCCTCTGTGGACAAAACACAGCAGTGTCGGGTCAAACTACAGATTCCAGGTGCCTAGAGCCCTTCACTGCACAGGCCAGCACCTGGGGAACCACAGCTGGCCGTGGGAGGTGTGGAGGCCCACTGCCAGGTGACCCCCACACTGGCACAAACTCCTGGTACTGAAAAAGCACAGGGACAAAATCACAGGACTGAGGAAGTGTAGGGCTTGGGGTTCCAAGGAAACACGTCATGGTCCCCAGAGGACAGCCCCACATCTAGTGCAGCCTGAGGTGTGCTAGTGCTCAGTTAAAAATCGCTCTTGGGCCAGTGAGATAGCTCAGCAGACTAAAGCACCTGCCTAAGCAAGCGCAGGGACCGCAGTGGGCTCCCCAGCACCACATGCTGTGCCAGCCCTGCCCCCAGGAAGGGCTGAGCTGGGCCATAGTCTGGGGAGGCTGAAAGCAGGGGGATCACAAGTCTGAGCTGCATAGTGAGGCCCTGCAACAACCAAATACATTAAAAAAAAAAAATCGTTCTTGTCACTACCGTCTTTGGGAAGGGCACAGAGGACCAGTAAGAGACACATCTTGTACTTGGGCTGCTTGCCTCACCCACATGCCCAAACACACCCTCAGCGGGGGTCCTGCCACAGTTCACAAACTGGGGCACAGGTACCCCTTGGTAACCTAGCTTAGACTCTACACATATGGTCCTGCCAGGTGGAACTTTCTGGGAGGTAGAAACGTCCACCAGCGTGGCCCCACACGGCACTCATACCAGCCACTAGCAGTTCTTTGTGTGTGCGCGTGTGGTAGGCCTCCCCACTCAGCTATATCCCCAGCCCTGGGGATTTGGGCTTTTTGAATTTTGGGAGGGGAGGGTCTTACTAGGTCACTAAGCTGACCCCACTAGGCTCAGCCTCCTCCTAAGCACTGCAGCTGGGGTGACATTTGGTGTATGCCACTGTGCCAAGGCTCCTACTTTTGTCTTCTCGACCAGTGGTCCACAAACTTTTCTGCCAGACACCAATCTGTCCCCACCACTCAACCATGCTGTTGTAGTGAGAGCAGGCTGCTCAACAAACCAGCTATGGGCCCAAATTTTTATTGATGAACACTGAAACTGTATGTTTTCACGTGTCACACAATAGCATCACTCCCACTGAAAATGTAAAAACTAGGGCTGGGGTTGCATTACAAATATAAGCTTAGGTGAGTGTGGTGGCCTACACCTGTAGTCCCAGCACTCAGAAGCTGAGGCAGGAAGATCTCTGTGTTCAAGGCCAGCCTGAAGTAGAGCAAAACCCTGTCTCAAAAACCTAAACAACAAAACAAAACAAGCTCAGACCCAGCGCGGTGGCTTGAGGCCAGAGGATCACCACTAGTTCGAGGCCAGCCTGGGTTACATAGCGAGATCCTGTCTCAAGAAAACCAACCAACCAAACAAAAAGCCCCAAGGATCAGGCAGGGCATGGTTGCAGACAATAACGTGTGAACGCATTTTAGAGAACCCCTAACATGGCACCACTTTACAGATAAGAAGAGGGAGATTCCGAATCTACAAAAACCCTGCCCAGGCTCCTGGCTCAAATCTATGTTCCCAGTTTCCCCGGCCCTGCTTTCAGGTGCTGGAGCTGGGACGAGCGTGCCCTGCGCTACCTTCCGGGGCCAGTGCGGTGAAGACTGGGTCATGGACTGGGGCTCCTCGCACGTCCTCCAAGATCTGCTCCACCGTGGGGGGCGCGGGGCGGGTGGGCAGCACCACGCGCTTCTTGGCCTTGGAGCCCATCGCTAGGGACTGAGAAAGAAAGCGTTAACAGGGCGTCCGCCTTTCGCTCTCTGCTGGGGCCGAGCTCCTGCCAGAACTCGAACGCACCCGCCGCGGCCCGCTCCGGGGGAGACCGCTCTGCACCCCCGCAAAGCGCTCCTCTGGGCTTGCGTGGCCGATGGCCTCCCTTCCTCCACCAAGAGCCCTGGGGCTGCAGAGTCCGGCTGGACGTCGGTCTCAGTTTCTCCGTGACAACTTCGGCCGCTAACCGCCCCCTACCTCGGAGCGAGCCAGCCACCAGCAGCAGCAGTGCTGCCACTTCCGCTTCCGGCGGGAGAGCCGGGACCAGGACCGCGCTTTCCGGTCTTTTCCAGTTCTCCCGGACCGCTTGCCGCGAGACTCCGCCTTTTCTTAAAGGGGCCGCCCAGGACCACAGCGCTCTCTGCCCTTCAGGGGTGAGCGTCAGTTCAAGTCCTTTTAAATGGGCAGCAAAGCCTGTGAGGCTTGATTTTTCGCAAAAGGACAGCGAGGTGTCTACTCCCATGGCTGTATGGGGCAGTATCACTGCTTGCCTCTGGTTGGCCCAGGGGGTGTCCAGTAAATGCCTGATGTTCTGATCACCCTGGAGGTGGCCAGGAACACAAGATGCATGTCACGTCTTGCCTGCCAGAACTGGCTGAGGCCCCCACGTGTCTAAAACACCTCCCCATCTGGAGTGTGCAAAGAGGGTCCCTTCTCCCACCCGTTCCCTTGTAGTCATCCTGTCACCTCCCTCCTGCCTGTGATGGGGACGAGGAGAGGGCTCTGTGTGTTTTTAGGCAGCTTTATCGACATGTTATTTACATACTGTAAAGTTCACCTATATAAGTAGTTCTGTGCTTCGTGTGGGTCAGCCCTGTGCAAACGTCAATATTGCCTGGTTCTAGGCTTTGGAAAAAAACAAGCAGTGGGGCAGGGCTGAGAAGAGAGTGGCAGTCCCAGAGTTGGACACAGAATCAGCAGCATGTGATCGCCCACAGTTACCCAAATCCTGGGCTCTGTGGACTGCAGCTGATTCTTCCTGTGTGGCCCCCCAGGTCCTCTAGAGCCTGACATCACCCTATAATCTGCCTTGCCACGCAGGCCCAGGACCTGCCCTGCCTCGAAGGAAACAACAGGCTTGGCATTGTCTTTTCAACCTTTATTTGCAAATTCTGAGGTTGGTCATGGTGCCCAAGACTGGACAGGCTCTGGGGCAGGAAAAGGATGGGGTCATGATCCAGCCTCTGTCCGTCCCACCCACAACTGACCCCCAAATGTGAAAGAGACGTCCTCTCACTTGCAGCTGGGAGTCCAGCCTCTAAGTATCCCCCAGCTAGCTGGGGCTTTCAGGGCAGGTCCCAGGTGGGACCTCCTGGGACAGGAGTGTCACCTGTACCCTGGGCTCAGGCCAAGGCCACTTTTGGTCCTCCAAGCTCCCAGGTTCCAATGCACGTCTGGTCCTGGGGTGGTGGCTTGCATGGAGCCAGCGTTAGAAGGGGTGCCCCAAGACCATAGCAGGCAGGCCCAGCACCTTAGCCGGGGCTGGGCAGCAGCGATGAGGTCAGGGGAGTGGGCCGGGTGTGGCTGGAGAGGCCCCAGGTAGGAGCCCTGCAGTTCATCTCACGTGCAGTGTACTGGGCAGAGGCAGATGGTGCCTGGCATGCAGAGCGGTGGGCAGCTGGGGTGTTCCTGGGGGGGCTAGCCAGGCCCTGTGGTCACCGCCTGCTGGGTGTGGCCTGAGCACCCCCATCCACAGAAGCAGAGGCAAAAGTGCCCCAGGATGCAGGTGGGGTTGTCACATTCTACACAGGACATGGAGGGATTTGGAGAGAGACCATGAGGCTCAGGCTCCACCCCAGGCCCTGCTCGCTGACAACCCTCCCAGGGCCACACACAGATACACACACTGCCAGCCCTGCCACACCACTGCCACTCATGCTGCCACAGCCCCTCTGTGTCCCGCTGCACATGCCCACTGCTGGTCACCTGGGGGTTTGGAGGCCAAGCTGTCATATCCTCTGCTGTCCCATAGAGCAGCAGTGTGCAGCGGTGCAGTGTCCCTGGGCCGGGTCGCAGTGCATATAGGGAGAGAGAGAGGCTGTTGGCAGCTGAGTTGCACCAAACCTGGGGCCCTTTTACTAAGGGCTCTTACCAGGGCCCCAGGCTGCATGGCCCTGGGCCCCAGACCACCTGCTGTTTGCCAGCAGCTGGACTCCTGGCCACCCCGACACCCTCACACCTGCTGTGTACCAACCATGCCTACTGGCACACTCTGCTCCCAGGCTTCTGGGGCCCCTTGGCCAAGGGGTAACAGAAGAGCCCCAGAGCTGGCTCTAGCCCTCACCTGTGTTAAAATAGTATCCCTTGTTCCATAGGCCCAGGGCCCACAAGCCCTGTGGGTTCTCGTCCCAGAAGTGGGTGGACATGAACGTCCAGTCATTGTAGCCCTGGCTACTATTGTCCAGAGGTCTGGGAAGCAGGAGAGAGAGAAAGGAGGGGGCCTCCTAAGCAGCCTGTGTGGGGCAGGCCCACAGAGCCGCAGGTGTGTCTGGCCATGCTGTCCTGGGCAGTCTCTGCCCAGGCCACACACCTGATGGCCACCAGTGTGGAGCGAGTGCCCATGGGGCTGGTGAGTGAGATCTCCAGGTCCCCACGGCGGCTGAAGGACAGTGACAGTTGCACCTGGACGTGTTCCAGTGAGCGGATGTAGTGCTGGCTGCCGGTGCAGGCTGACACGTTCTTCTCCACACTCATGTGTGGCAGGATAGGGCTGGGGGCAGTGAGGACCCTGCTGTTTGTTCACCTGTTATGCGGCCCATCCTCTCTGGATAGACTGGGAAACTTAAGCCAGAGGACTGCCTCCCCTGGTGACCCTGCCCCTGGGAGTAATGATGGGTGTGTGGGGGTTGCCCTTACAGCGGGGCCAGCACGATCTCCAAGGTGCACTTCCTCTGGGGCCGCGTGGGCAGCCAGGTGCGGGCCAGGTCCACCAACAGTGCAGCGTCCAGCAGCCCATAGCCGTAGTGATGGCTCACTGTGCAAAGGAGTGGCCATCACGTGTCCTGCAGACCTGCTGCCCCCACCCATACCCGGCTCCACCGCACCTTGGCGCCCCACGCCGTTGGTCCTCCAGTCCTCGGCCTGCAAGTGCGCTGGCTTGGAGGCGCGGACCACGAGGTGCTGCATGTCCCTCCAGGTCAGGAGCGGGCTGGGGCAGTGCAAGACAGCCATGAGCCCTGGCCCGAGAGGGGTGTGGCCTGAGGGGAGGCGGGGGGGGGTCTGTCCCCCCAATACCTACTTGGCTTCCAGAGCAAGGGCAATAATGCCTGCAGCCAGCGGTGCCGAGGCTGAGGTCCCCGTGTGTTTGTCCGTGCACTGGTGGTGTAGGTCTGTGGTGACCTGGGGACAGAGGCTGTGCTAGGGCCTGGTGCAGTGACACTTGGCCCTTATTTAGCAAGTGTCATGCACTGTCCTTGCAAATTACTATGGACTGAGTTTAAAAGATACTCAGGAACTAGGGTGGTGGCACATGTCATTAATTTCAGCGCTTGGGAGGCTGAGGCACGGGATCCTTACAAATTCCTTGACAGCCTCAGCTACATAGTGAGTTCAAGGCCAACCTGAACTACATGGTGAGACTTTGTCTCAAAAAAAAAAAAAAAAAAAAAAAGTAAAAGAACTAAAGGGCTAAAGACTGAGTTTAAGCAGTATACCAAAGACTAAGTTCAAAAAGTTCTGTGCACTGAGTTCAAAAAGTGGTAAAAGATCTGGGTGTGGTGGATGGCACACACCTGTCATCCCAGCACTCAGCAGGCTGAGGCAGGAGGGTCACCATTCGTTTGAGGCCAACCTGGGCTACATAGTGAGTTCAGGACCATCTTTCAGTACATAGTGTCTCAAAACAAACAAAACCAAAAAACGACTAAGGAATGAGTTCAAACAGTATACCAAGGACTAAATTCAAAAAGTTTACCAAGGATTGAGTTTAAAAAGTCCAAGGGTGGGGCTGGGGAGATGGCTCAGTGGAATATGCACTTCCCTGGCAAGTGCAAGGGCCTGAGTTCAAGCCCCAGTTCCGCCAAATAAATAAATAAATAAATAAATAAAACAAACAAATAAATAAATAAAAAATTTTTAAAAAGAAAACAAAACAGTCTAAGGAGGCATTTAGCTGAGTGGTGTAGCACTTGCCTGCTAAGCTTGGTGTCCTCAGTTCGATTCCTGGTACCCCCTTCAAAAAGTCCAATGACTAAGTTTGTAAAAATACAATGATGCCTCAATTCACGAACTTAATTCTTTCCATAATTCTGGTCACAAACAGAATTGGATGAGAATGGAATCAGGGAGCCGGGGAGATGGCTCAGTGGAATAAACGCTTCCCTGGCAAGTGCAAGGGCCTGAGTTCAATCCCCGGTTCCGCCAAAAAAAAAAATAAATAAATAAATAAAATAATAAGAATTAAAAAATTAATTTCCCCAAATATTATTTGGGCTAGGGAGATGGCTCAGTAGAATAAGCACTTCCCTGGCAAGCGCAAGGGCCTTAGTTCAATCTCCCGGTTCTGCAAAAAAAAAAAGAAGAATGGAACCAAATTCAGTGGTTAGGGCAGGGAGATAGCTCAATGGTGGAAGTGCTTGTCTGGCAAGTACAAGGTCCTGAGTTCAATCCCCAGTACCACAAAAAAGAAAAAAAGAAAATCAACACTTAGGTTCAGTACTGTCCTTATGTGGAAATTTAATTTTATTCTGATCCAATTCAGTTTGTGACCAGAAACACAGAAAGAATTAAGTTCATAAACAGAGGTGCCACTGTACTATGAACTGATTTCAAAAAGTACGAAAGACAGGGGCTGGGGAGATGGCTCAGTAGAATAAGCACTTGCCTGGCAAGTGCAAGGGACTGAGTTCAACCCCCAGTTCCGCCGAAACAAAAACAAATAAGAAAAAGTACCAAAGACAAAACTCAGAAAGTAGTACAAGCTGGGTATGGTGGCACATCTTTATAACCCAGTACTATGGAAGGCTGAGGCAGGAGGATCCCAACTTTGAGCCTGAGTTGGGAATTTAGCAATTTAGAGAGACCCTGTCTTTAAAAAAGTAAAAAAAAAAAAAAGTGTGTGTGTGTGTGTGTGTGTGTGTGTGTGTGTAGGTCCAGGGTTCTATCCCAGTACCAAAAAACTGTTTGTGGGGGTGGGTGGGCACCATGTGCATGGGGGTGGGCTGCTGTGACAGCAGCACTCACAATCTGGGGGTCAGAAGCCAAACCGCTGCTGAAGGTGGTGGTGAGGATGGAGGCACAGGCCTCGCTGTACCACGGCACGTGGCCCTGCCGGGTGGCGCTGCCCACTGAGAGCGTGTGGATGCTGTTGGTGTAGCCGTCACAGTTACAGTTGTCATAATGGAGACCGCCATTGCCTGAGGCCCAGACGAAGAGCGTGCCCAGCCCGCCGCGGCCCTGGGACAAGCAAGGAGTCCACGAAGGGGATGTCACACCAGCTGGTGCCTGGCCTGGCCATACTGCCACCCTATGGCCCTGTGGGCACTCACATAGGTCACGCCACGCCGGAAGGCCTCGTGGGTGAGGATGCCCGGGCCGTCTACCGTGCGGCCGTCGTCTGCGGGGCCCCAACTGGCGCTGTAGATGTGAATGTGCTGGGGCTGCAGGCTCAGCGACTGGGCCTCGATCACGTCCGTAATGGTGCCATCCAGCATGCGCACACCTGCGTGGCGGGTGTCCGGCCTCCCTCGGGCACCGACCTGCGTGGCCCTCTCTCCCGGGGCCTTGTCTGGGGTCCTGGCACCGCCCAGCAAGGAGGAGGTGGGCAACGGCACCCTCTTCCCCTCACTTGCCCCATCGTCTATCTGCTGCAGCATCACCTTCCACCCTCTGTCCCCAGGCCATGTCTCTGAGGGACCCTGGTACCTCCAATCCGGGCGTTGAAGGCAACTCCTGCACCACAGAAGCCATTGTTGGCCATGGCTGCCACCTCCCCTGCACAGCGTGTCCCATGCCTGGAGCCAGGGTGGGGAGGGGGTTGTCCAGCACCGCCTGCCTGGTCCCCACAGGGAAATAGGGACCCGCTCACACCCCACGGGCTGGGGCTCACCGGTTCTCGTTGCTGGGTGTGTAGCGAGGCTGAGGGTCTGGGTCATAGTCATTGAAGTCATAGCTGGCCAGGGGGTCCTGGGGGCCAATGAGGATTTGAGCAGGATGTGAGGTGTCCCCAGGGAGGGACGACTGGGCACAGCCCCTGCCCGGCTGCCTGAGGCCTCACATAATTGGCCCAGAGGTCCGGGTGGTCCTTCTCAATGCCGTCATCTAGGATGGAGATAACGACGCCCCGGCCCGTCAGGCCCTGGCCCCAGGACTGCAGGACATTCAGGTCCAGCTGCATCTCATTGTTCTGCACCAAACAGGGGCCAAGGGTCAGTGGGGTAGTGGTGGCCCTATGTGCCACCTGCCCCAGCCCTGCTGCTCACCATGTACCACTGCTTGGCGAACCAGGGATCCGAGGGCATCACCAGGGATCGCTTCACGCGCTGCCGAACCGTCTGCTGCTCAAACCACCGTACCTGAGAGGGGCACATGGCTAGGTTGTCTCTCAGGTAGGGGAGGGGAGGCCGACAGGTCCCTTGTCTGGAGATCTTGTGCTCACTGTGGCTTCTTATTTTTTTCTGAGACAGGATCTCACTGTGTAGTTTGGGCTGGCCTTGAACTCACTAGGTAGCCTAAGCTGGCCTCAAACTTTTGGCTATCCTCCTGTCTCACCCTGCTGGGGTTAGAAGTGTGTGCCACTAGGCCCAGCATGAGTCTGTTCTTGAGGGTCTCCCATGCCTGGGGTTCTGTCTTCAGTTGCAGGGACCCCAGAGTCCCAGTGTACCCATCCTCAGGCCCACAAACACATAGAGACAGGGATGATGGATTCCTCTGTCCCACCACTGCCCCCTCCTTCCTCCTTGCTCTAGATCCTTCTGTCCAACCCTGCTGGCTCCCTCCTGTGTCAGCTCCCAGAACAGCCACTTATTCCCCTTCCCCATCCAAGACACTTCTCCAAGGGTTACACCCTCCTCCCCCCTGGCTTTCCACCCCCCAATGATAGCCTACAAGGCCCTGAATGTCCAGCCCCCACCAGCCTCCCTCTTAACGATAGCTGGTGACTACCTTGAGGTTTCAAGGGCACATGAATTCATCTCGACCCCAGGACCTTTGTGTGCTGTTTTGCCAGCCTGGACCTCTCTTCCTTGGGCACTTGTCCTGCTTCCTTCTTACCACCTTCAGCTCCCATACCCAAACCAGCTTATCCTCTGCCCCATCTGAGGGATCCTGGCTGTCTCCCAAATGCCAAGCTGGTCCTAATACCCATCTCTGTCTTACACATCTGATCTATCCCGCAAACCCTGAACCAGCCACCTTTCTTGGTCCCGAGCTCTGAGCATCGATAGCCTGGGTCCTTGTCCCAAGGACTGCCACAGACTCACTCACTGGGCGGCTTCAGACTTCCTACTTCAAGGGACTATTTCCCTGTGGGGTAAAATGGGCCAGTGCCTCTCCTGCACCCTCTGAGCTGGAGGGTGGGAGGTGGTGTTGCCTGTCCCGTCTGACCACAGTATCTGAGGCCTTCAATTTTTCAGGGGGACAGAAGTACTTCCCCATCCTGGGCCCACTGTAGGGACCCAGTGGAATGTAAACCTCTATAAGATACCGCTTATGGCAGTTGCAAGAATAACAGAAGGTGCCAGGTTGGCCCCAAGGCAACAGCTGAGACCCTGGGGGCAGCCTCCTGGGCAGGCTCACCTTTGGGTCTTTCTTCAGACGCAAGCGGTGGCCCCAGTGTGGGCTCAGGGACTGCTGGGCCATCCCCCGGTGCCGCAGGTGGAAGTACTGCCCGTCAGGGAAGATCTGGGAAGATGGGGGCCAGACATGTCTCTGGGACGGCTCCTCAGTGCTGAAACCCCACCCTCAGGATGGGACCAGTGCCTACTTGTTTGGACCCTGCTCCAACCAGGTTCCCAGGTGGGGACTTCAGCTCTACCCCAAGAGTACCAGAACCTCAGGCTCTTCACAGTGAGCTACATTCTCAGGGCTTTTTTTTTTTTTTTCAGGGTAATGGTCTCTAAGTTTCCTGAACAAGGCTGGAAGGTGGGATCCTCCTGCCTCAGCCTGAGTGCTGGGGTGGTAGGCATGCACCACCATGCCCAGCTGGGCTTGGGTTCTTAATATTTAGGAGGATATTGGGGGACTCCGTCCTATCTATCAGGGTCAGGGGTTATATGTCCCTCACTTATCATCCATCAGAGTGTGACCCACCTGCCCCAGGTTGACGAAGCCAAATTTATGTGCCAGACGCTCGGCTTCCTGGTTACCCTGGGTCACCCGCACTGCCCAGCTGCTGACATAGATGGGAACCTGGGCGCACGTCCAGCCCACAGCTAGGGGGTAGATGAGGACCAGGCTCAGAGTCACCACCAGTATCCACCAGAGCGCAGTAGGGGCGGGCCACATGGCGCCGGGGGTGGAACTGGGGGCGGGTCCTGCGAGAGCCCCGCCCCCCAGCCAAACCGCCGAGTGGGCCTGGCGCCATAGCAACCTCTGGGGCTTCAACTCCCTGGAGGCCTGCGGTTCCTTTCCTTCGCGAGGGATGGAAAAACCCAACAGAAGTCCTGGGGGGAACACATGGCCATAGACCTAAACCCTCCACTTGCACAAACCAAAATCTCAGAGAAGTTCATTGTAGTATTAGGGGACCCCACCACCCTTTATTTGGTCTCGCCCATTATGTTACACATCCCCTTCAAGAATCTTGCTCCAACCAGAACTGCTCCTTGGGATAAGTCCCGCCTCTATTTAACACCGGTTTGTCCCCGCCCATCCAATCCCGCCCCGCCTCTTTAGGATCAGCCCCGCCTCTCCCCTCTCCTCTCCTCCTGCTTGTCCAATCAATTATGGCTTTTCTGAGGAACAACCTAGGAGAATACTCGCTCTGCCCTTCCCAGCACGCCCCCCCACCACACACAACTCCACCCTCCTCCCTCAACAGCGCAGCCAATAATGACCAGCCCTGACACTGCCCCTCCAATCAGCTACGTCCTACTCCTCCTTGGCCAATAGGTGCCTTCGTCCGCCACGCCCCTCCCCCTTCCAGCCCCTTCCCTGCCTAGGCGGCAGTGGGCCACCAGAGGGCAATGAGGCGGGGGAGACGGGGCAGGCCCCACCCCCTTCGCCCTCCCTGCCCTCCCTGCCCTCCCATTGGCCACAGCGGAGGGTCGGAGGAGGAACCCAAGTCGGGGGCGGAGGCGGGTGGCCAAGGGGCCGAACAGGGGGGCGGACCGAGCGGTACTGGGACGCGCGCGCGGCGGGACCGTGGCGCGGGGCAGCCTGCGAGCTCCCGCTGCCAGTCCCGGGGCCGGCGAGGCCATGGACAACCTGCGCCGGCGCGTCGAGCACTTTCTGGAACAGAAGAACTTTGCCACCGAGGCGCTCGGGGCGCTCGAAGCCAGGACCGGTGTCGAGAAGCGGTATCTGGCCGCGGGTGAGCCGTCGGAGCGCTCGCTCCATTGCACCCACAGGCTCTCCGGGTCCCTGAGTACAGAGGTCGCAGACTGGCGGCCTATCTCCTCGGAGCGGGTCCAGGGATGTGGACCCAGCGGGACGGGCGTCCCACTTCCCGCCGAAACTCCCCGATCCAGGCAGGGGTCCAGGATCTGGACCTCGGGTCGCCTGCAGTCCCTGTCCTGCACTCGTGCGGTCTCGAGCGAGCCCTCCCACACCCCACCCCCGCTACAGCCTCGGTCCCCGCCGTCCTCTGTCCTCTCCCTTGTCACCATGGGTGACAGCCAGGCCCAAGTCCAGTTTTTCCAGTTGTCCAGCGGGTCTTGGAAGACGGGACATGTAGGGGGGTGATCCACGTGCTAGCGTGTCGTCCGGGTCCTTCCCTCGTGGACTCTATCTCGGAGCGAGGGGAGACCGGGCCGGAAGGGGACCGTCCTGCCTGCCGTCCTCTCCCCTCCTCCAGTTAGGTCGCTTTGTACCTTTGTAGGTCAATATTTATTACCTTGGGCTGTTTGACAGCTGTGATGGGGCCGGAGGAAGAGAACCCAAAGCCCTCATTATCGTTCCGTTTCAGTTCTTTTCCTCCTCGGAGATAGGAGCATGAGCAAGCGGCTCTGCTTGGTTCTGAAACTCCCTAGGCAACACAGTACATGACTTCTTCCAATGCCGACTGATTCTTGCAGTACTGAGGCTCCTGCCTTTCCAGGAAGTCCTTCTCTGTGAATGAATCACAAAGGCCCATAGGGCTGGGCATGGGCTCTGTGGGGAGGGTCCTGCCAGGTGCCTTGAATACCTGTGGCCCATCTACCTTCACCCCATTCCCCTGACAGCTGGAGGTCTCCCACACCAGCTAGCCAAGGACCACCTGAAACTGTGCCCAAATCTCTGCAGGTCCAAGGCTGTGCCTGCCCTGGCCACAGGGCCCTGACCTCTGCCCTGACTTTCCACATGGCTAGGATCTGTGGGTGGGGAATTTAGGTCACAGAGCAGCAGAAGGAAGGCGGCAGGGAGGAGCCAGTTAGAAGGCTAGGTGTTACAGCGAAACTGAGGCATGGGGGAGGGGCCTAGTGGGAAGCTGCATCAGTGTCTGAAATGTCCCCCTGTCCCTGCCCTGTCCCATCTATTGCTGATGTGTGCAGGTGCTGTCCCCTTGTGTCCAAGGTCATCCACCTTCTGCTGAGGCTGCAGGTTTAAAAGGGATTGAGGGGAGGAAGAGCCCCTCCTCCTCCAGTAGCAATCCCAGCGAAGGGGCGTCCCCTGCCATCACGCATGTACTTTTCTTTGATATATTGACCCTTAGGTCACACCTTCTCCACATTGTCAAAGCCCCTGTCCCCCAGGGAACACAGGACACAACTCAGAGAAGACAGTGCTGGGGGTGACATGGTCTCCTAGGGCTGTTCCTGCTCTGACCTCAGGCCCACAGGTGAATGGAAGGGTGGGGGTGACTGGGGCTCTGCCCTTTGGTCCAGAAGTGCTGTCCAAATCTCCCTGTGAATAACAGTCTCTGGGGAGCAGACAGGAAGCTGTCCAAATGCTCTGGAGCTCCAAGATATCCCAGGTGGCCTTGAACAACCCACAACCGACACCACAGTCAGTGCTATTCGCTGCTGAATGAGATAAGGGGTCCTTGAGCCCTGCACAAAATGCACTTAATCAACAGAACACTTACCAGTGTGCTTTTCAGGGTCAAGTTCAGAATAGGGGCTGGAAATAAAAAATAAATAAATAAATAAATAAATAAATAAAGGGGCCGGGGAGATGGCTCAGTAGAATAAGCACTTGTCTGGCAAACATAAGGGCCTGAGTTCAATCCCCGGTTCTGCAAAAAAAAATAAAAAATAAATAAATAAAAAGAATAGGGGCTGGGCTCCTTTTTCCTGCACCCCTTTTTTTCTGAACCTGCATTGGCTGGCATGTTTCAGTGGCCATGTTCCCATGTGGGATAGGTTCTGTAACTTACAGCAACCCTGGCATGCAGGGGACCTTTACAGATGGGGAAACTAAGGCTCCTTGGAGAGAGCTTCACTCATTGTCAAGCAGTGGTCAAAAGCAAGCCCTCCTAGCTCCAGGGGACCCGGATGCTGGGCTTTGATGCCTCCTTTTAAGACAGAGGCTTTCAAGGTGGGGAACACTATGCCCCATATTTGATGATGTCTGGGGATTTTTTTTTGTCTCCAGTACTGGGAATTGAACTCAGGTCCTTTGCACTGAGCTATATACCACCAGCCCTTTTAATTTTCTATATTTTGTCTTTTTTTTTTTTTTTAGAACCGGGGATTGAACAGGCCTTTGCGCTTGCCAGGGAAGCACTTATTCCACTGAGCCATCTTCCCGGCCCAAATTTTCTATATTTTGAAACAGGCTTGGGCTGGGAATATAGCTCAGTGGCATAGCACCTGCCTGGCAAGTGTAAGGCCCTGAGTTCAGTTCCTGTTACAAAAACACAAAACAGCCGGGGAGATGGCTCAGTGAAATAAGCACTTGCCTGGCAAGCGCAAGGGCCTGAGTTCAATCCCCGGTTCCACAAAAAAAACACAAAACAAACAAACACCCCTCCACCAAGGGACACACTCTCACTGAGTTGCCTATGCTGAGTTTGAATTTGATATCCTCCTGCCTCAGCCTCCCAGAGTGTTGGGGTAACAGGTATGTGTCTCACCACACCTAGCTGTCTGGGATATTTGTGGTTGTTACAACTGGGAGTGTTCCTGGCACAGAGTGGGTGGAAGCCAGGGACACTGCTGTAAACAGAATTCTCCCCAACTGGGTGAACTGGATGTTAACAGTGCTGAGAGGAGAGACCCTGAGTACAGATAACAGAAAGGTACACTGTAGCCTTCCTCAGCTCACCAGGTTCAGATTATTGCTTATTCTTTCAACAAATGTTTATTGTGCATCTCCTCTCTACCCACCCTATCTCTGAGCCCTGGCTCCAAGCCAAAGTTCCCACCCATCCTGGGAGATGGGGGAGAGGGGCAGGGCAACTCGCCCATCCTGGAGGTGGCATCAAGGCTCCAGGAAGGAGGCTAAGGTTGCCCACTTCATCCCAAGGGTACTCAGGCTCCCACCCAGCGCTCCTTTCTCTCATAGGAGCCGTCACTCTGCTAAGCCTGTATCTTCTCTTCGGCTACGGGGCATCTCTGCTCTGCAATCTTATCGGATTTGTGTACCCCGCATATGCCTCGTGAGTGCCCCATCTGCCCCAGTGGGGGGGATCTCTTGGGGGTTCCAGATGGCCCCTGAGTCTGCTGTGCTCCTCTGCAGAATCAAAGCTATCGAGAGCCCAAACAAAGAAGACGACACTGTGTGGCTGACCTACTGGGTGGTGTACGCCCTGTTCGGGCTGGCAGAGTTCTTCAGCGATCTTCTCCTGTTCTGGTTCCCTTTCTACTACGCGGGCAAGGTGGGCAGGGGCTTGGGGATCCCGCAGCAGCTGGTTACCCACTGTGAGGGCTGCTGAAGAGGGGGCAGGAAGCTGCGGCAGGCACAGTGTGACCTCCCACCCCCCACAGTGCGCCTTCCTGTTGTTCTGCATGACCCCCGGGCCCTGGAACGGGGCGCTGCTGCTGTACCAGCGGCTCGTGCGTCCGCTCTTCCTAAAGCACCACGCAGCCGTGGACAGCGCCATGAGCCACCTCAGCGGCCGGGTCCTGGACGCGGCAGCCGGAATAACCAGGGACGGTGAGTGCTGGAGGGTGTCTGTGTGTCTGTCTCTCTTTCTGTCTGTCTGTCTGTCTCTCTGACTTTTGAGTCTCTCCTTGGGCTTTAGCCTGTCTGTCTGTCCCACTACTCCCTCCTGAGTGTGACTCCTGTCCTGGCATGGTGGCTGTCCCTCTGCTCCCTGACCCTCTCGGTCTCCCTCTTACTGTCACCTCTCTCCTCCATGCTCTCGGGATCCAGTGCTACGGGCCCTGGCCCGGGGCCGGGCACTCGTTACCCCAGCAGTGGTGACAGAAGTCCCCATCGCCCTGGAAGGCGACTGTATGTAACATGTAACACCGGGGAGGTTGGTGTTGGGCATGTGCCTATGTGTGGCGCACTTGTGTAAGCCTGAGTGTGTGTGTTCACAGCATGTGGGTTTGTGTGCTGAGTGTGCTGTGAGCGCTCCAGTGTATGTGTGCATATGGTGTTCTGGGCACTTGTTGGTGTCTGGCTGTATGTGTGCATGTACTGTGAGAGTTGCATACGTGAGTGTGTATGTGTGTGAGAGCATGTGCACCCACTGGGGCATTGTGTGTTTGAGTTTTTGTCTGTGCAGTGAATATGTACACATGAAACTGCATGTCCAAGAATGCATACGTGTGAGTATATATACGTGAGACCATGCACTAAGTATGTACATGTAGCAATGTGTACGTGCCAAGCATGTGTGTGCATGTGTGTATGTGGGAGGGAGTACATGTGGTTGGCCCTGTGAGTGCAGAGTGTGCACATGTAAGCATGTGGATGTGTACATTCATTGATGTCCACCACGATTCCCACCTCTTGTGGCCCCCTTGTCCCTCCTGCTGACCCACGCGTGGCACCAGAGGCCCAAATCCCATTCCCCAGCTGCTCCAAGTACCAGAGCTCCTGCTGTAACCAGGATTCTCCCCAACTGGGTGAACTCACCTGCCTCACCCCCTTTCCCACCCTCTCTCCACAGCCCCACCAAGCCTGAGCCCTCCACAGAAGGGCAAGTGAAGCTGCCATCCCGCTCTGGCACAGACATCCCAGCTGGTGAGAAGGGGCACAGTGCCAGCCCCCAGCTGTCCACAGAGGCCCCTGCCAGCTCCCCAACAACAGAGGCCCAGCCCAGCCGCTCCAACCTGGGCAGGCCCCCTGCCAGGGCAGCAGTAGGGCAGGCCCGGTCTCTGGCTGAGCCAGGATCAGGTTCTCGGATCCAGCTGGCTTCCCGCTCTGTCACTGGCTCCCAGCTGCCTAGGAAGGCTCAGGGCCCAGTTCAGGGTCCAGGCACCCATTCCAAGGAGGCCCCCAAACGCCCTGGGGTCTCTGATCCTCCTTCAGGGTCCTCTCCCCCAGCCACCTCTAACCTGGAACCTGCAAACACCCAGCCTCCCAGTGGTGTTCCCAGCCCTGTTCAGCCTCCCGGGGAGCCCGGGGACCCAGCCCCTGAAACCAGCACACAGCCCCAGGAGAAGATGCCCACACAGCCAGCTGGCAGCTCCTCAGAGCTTGAGCTCAGCGTCTCCGAGTCCTCCCTGGACTCCACGTGTGAGGCTACCACTGAGCTCACCTGCCACTGGCCATGCCACAGACCCTGGCTGCGGTGCCCACGGCACTGCTGGCTGCTGGAGCACTTGGCCTATTAGAGCCCCTTCGTCATCTGGCCCACCAGGTTCCCTAAAACACCAGGCTAGTTGGGTATGCAATAAAGTAACTGTCCAGACCCGTGTGTTGTCTGTTGTGGGGCAACCCTGGAGCAGCCAAGCGTGAGGCCTGGTGGTACAGACTGGCTCTGTCGTACAGAGGAGGAAACAGAAGTCCAGGGAGTCAGACCCAGCCACTCCAGGTCTCCCAGGGACCTCACACAAATGCAAACCAGGAAATCTTTGCCCTCATCCAAGGGGCTTCCTCCTTCCTCTTCTGAACTTGTGGTCAGATGTACCCAGTAAATCTCTTTTCAAGGAATTACACTCCCGGCTTTGTTTTTATTTTTAAATTTTGAAATAGGGTATTAAGTTGCTCAGGTTGGGAATCAAACTTGTGATCCTCCTGCCTCAGCCTCCCAGAGTGCTGAGATGACAGGCATGAGTCACCATGCCAGGCTTGAGCCCCTTTTTTTTATATTAAAAAAACCCTTGCAGACAAGGGAAAGAAGGAGGAGAGACACCCCTTTCGGCTCACTGAGGCTCCCCAGAAGCTGTAACAGACAGAATTGGAGCACTAGAGTTTGAGAGCACTGGCGGGTACCCCAGAAATCCCTGGCAGGGAATGGGGATGTGAGATGGGACAACGGGACAGGCAGGATGCCATGGGAGGAGTCGTGACCAAGCCAGCAACACTTGAGGCTCCTCCTCCTCTTCCTCCTCCTCCTCCTCCTCCTCCTC